GTAGGTCTTTTACTCGTACTTTGAGATTTTATGTAACCAAAGTAACAAAATGTGTCTACTGCTTGTTCATTTAGCAGCCCCTGCAGCGAATGCAGACAGAATTGGTGGAGCGGAACTAATTTTCTTTGGATCTTTCCATGTCGCATGCTCTAAATGGATCAGAGGAGCCTCTCCATCCTACCTGAACACTTTTCATCCATCCACATAGCCTGTTTAGTCCCTGATAAATAGAAAATCTACTTCGGGAGCGCGTTTTTAGCGGGTTTGGAGGCAGGGTTTGGGTTTAGTTCATTTTCCCTTCCCCGCTGGCAGCAGAGGGAGCCCTCGGTCCACGGAAGAGCATTTGGTGCTCATCGTGCCGTAAACCAGAAAACAAAAAAAGGTTTGGGTTTTTTTTTTTTTTTTTCCTTTCGTGCAGTATGTTCTCACAGATGAAGCTTTAATCTATATCGTACGTCTCTGCTGCTGTAAATTCATGCTCCATTATACCACCATATGCTTGGCTTCGCTCAGAGAAAGCTGCAGTAATCCTAATACTTCATCTCACTTTATAGATATTTGTGTTGCGGGTTTGATTGCACGTTGTTTGCTCACACACTTAAAGGTTATGTCTCAATAAGTTGGTTTGGATGAGTTTATTAGCAGTGAGCTGGCAGCTGATGAGTTTTTGTGTTTGAGAAGGTGTCATTGTATTGTCCATTATAGTGTGAGGTTTGGGAAGCGAAAAGGGAGAGTTTGGTTCATTAAAGGGATCTGGAGTCATGCAGCACAGTGCTTTAGGTTGTGTATGATTTTTGGCTAGTTTCTCTTTCAGCTTGGAGGTAAATACCATTTCCTCTGCAACTGAGCAGCTCAATGTGAAAGTATGAAGGGACAGACACAGGATTTTCAGTATCAGTAGAGCTGCTTTATAACATTCAGGACCTTTAAATCTGATGCAGAAATGGTGGATTCCTGAAAGTTTTAGGCACATTTGATATATCCATGGAATTCTGCATGTCATTTATATTGATGAAAAACGGTAAACAGAAAAGAGATGTTTTAAAAGTCTCTTTTCTCCCCCATTTTTTTTTTAACTAATATTCTGTATTCTTTAAGAATGTCAGCTGTGAAAGGTGCTCAGTATCGGCTGGGTTGCAAGGAATAATGCACTGTATGTACATTAGTAAATCACTAGAGTGACAGGAAAAGTACTGTAAAAGATCTGTAAAAGTCTCAAGACTATCAATGTCAATAAGCAGGAGCCTTCCCGAGCCCTTTGAGACCATTTCAGACACTAGAGGGCTCAAGAAATACTTCTGATTTCTTCCACGAGGTTTTAATCACTATAAATGGTATATCTCTTTCAGTAATGCTCACACTGACCTCATAATCATCCTTGGAATGACACCATATTACAGCCACAACAGAAGAATGGCAATGCATTAATAAGCTAACGAAGAAAACATCTCCTTCCTCAAGCAGTTGCAAATAAAGCAAAGTACCTACAGTTGTGACAACACTCTGCAAACTCCATGTTTAGTACTTCTGATTGGAAGATACACTGGAAATCTCTGCTTGACGAAATCCCTGCTTGACAAAATCCTTGCTTGATGAAATCCTTTCTTAGTCATCTCCGGCCTAAATTAAAATTTTAATAAAATTTAACCCCATAAAAATTACTATTGGCCTTTAAAAAAAAATTTGGCAAACATTACACTGCCTTTGAAATAAGCACTGCAAGATTTTCCACCTTATAGAAACCGAAATAAAGCATTAAAAAATATAATAATACTTGAAGAGAAAAAGAAAACTGAATTCAGTATTTGGTATGAGAGAAATGAAGAAAAATTTACATCAGCAATATAAACCCAAATATATAATCTTCAATAATTAACAGTGAATTTAAGTATCTAATTAGTTATTATACAATGATATTGTGCTTATTCCAAAGCTTACTGAAGCCATAGGAAATTTCCCCTGTAATTTCAATTATTCTATAACAAACACACCAGTGCTAACAAGGATTGTTTGCAGTGCTACACTCTGAACAGGTGCCTCTGCAGCAGGCACTAATAAATAAATACAGCCTGGAGAAGCACTGCCCAGGCTGGGTCATGGGTTTGCAAGGATTTGTATGCAGTGATATCGAAGTACAGTAGAGTGGATTTGGAAATGGAATGATGGTGTGGGAGGAGATCTCAGGTTGTAAAAGACAAGAGTGAAACAAGGAAAAGATTGTTCATTACAATGTTATAGATAGACTTTTTAATTACATTTTATTTCAAGGAGTAAACAGAAGGTATAATCCATGTAGTGCCATCAGCTCTGAGGAGCACACTCAGATGTTCCTTTACATATATTTATGTATATATATATGTATAAAAAGTAGGATACTGAAGCTGTGAAGTTGCTAATAAGTATCTTACAGATTTCAGTAGGAAAAGAATCAGAGCTCCTGCAAAGTACTTGAGTTCATGTGTAGCTTTCAGATGATGGGAAAATCCATTACATTTGTGTGTGTATATATTTATATATATATATTTATATATGTTTGTATGCATTTCCTTTTTTAAGATTGCCATGACTCATGGATTTGCTCTGCTGCAGAAGTGTCAATAGTTACTTTAACCTGGCTGAAGCCATTAATGGGATTTTTGTTGCTATATATGCTTTCACGCCTTAAGTTTTT